ATCCCAGGAAGCCACCAGCCAAATATAAAGATTCTATACCCTTCAGTTCTTCAGAAGAAGTCATTTGAAGCTTTTTACACATTTGACTCCTGTGACCTTGAAAGTAGGTCAAGGTAATTTTCATTCTCAAACTTTGTTGGGCTCCATCCCAGGAACCAATCAGCCAAATATGAAGATTCAATACCTTTTAGTTCTTCAGAAGGAGTCGTTTGAAGTTTTTGACATATTTGACCCCTGTGACCTTGAAAGTAGGTCAAGGTCATTTTCGTTCTCAAACTTTGTAGGGCTCCTACCAACAAAGCTTTCAGCCAAATATCATGACTCTAGGCTTATCCGTTCTTCAGAAGAAGTTGTTTAAAGGAAAAATTGACGGACGAGGACGGACAGATGGACGGACGGACGCCGCACCACGACATAAGCTCACTTGCCCTTCGGGCAGGTGAGCTAATAATGCCATCATTTTTGTTACGATTTTTTCCATTACATTTTCTCACCATAGACTAGTTATCCTATATCACCATAGTTACACTCTATCACGATAGTTACACTATATCACCATAGTTACACTACATGTCATGACATATTTCAGCGGGGGGCACAGAGCGTATGTGAATATGCCTAACCCCTGGAGTATCGTGAATGACCTTACAGCTGACTGTAACTTGTAAGTTGTAGGACAGTTTAGATACCTGTGTCATGCCTCCAAATTGTTCCTGTAGGAATCCTGTTGGGGTCAGACCTGCCCTTGAGTGACTGATGGCAAAAGAATGACCCATGTTGACTATAGACGATGACATCTCAGCAGCAGTCATGTTGACCAAGGTCAAGAATCGTTCATTATCTTTAAGGTCTGGTCTGTGGAATAGAAGAAAGCTTACAAGGTATGTGAGTGCTCACTGTTATGATGGTAAGTAAGATGTGTTGACAGAATTCCTTAGTAAGTACCTCAAGGCATGTGAGAGCTCACTGATATGATGGTAAGTAAGATGTGTGGACAGAATTCCTAAGTCATTACCTTAAGGTATGTGAGTGCTCACTGATATGATGGTAAGTAAGATGTGTTGACAGAATTCCTTAGTCAGTACCTCAAGGCATGTGAGAGCTCAGTTATGATGGTAAGTAAGATGTGTGTACAGAATTCTTAATCGTTACCTCCAGGCATGTGAGAGCTCACTGATATGGTGGTAAGTAAGATGTGTGGACAGAATTCTTAGTCGTTACCTCCAGGCATGTGAGAGCTTACTGAAATGATGGTAAGTAAGATGTGTGGACAGAATTCCTTAGTCGTTACCTCAAGGTATGTGAGAGCTCACTGTTATGATGGTAAGTAAGATGGGTCGACAGAATTCCTTAGTCTTTACCTCAAGGCATGTGAGAGCTCAGTTATGATGGTAAGTAAGATGTGTGTACAGAATTCCTTAGTCTTCACCTCAAGGTATGTGAGAGCTTACTGTTATAGTGGTAAGTAAGATGTGTGGACAGAATTCCTTAGTCTTCACCTCAAGATATGTGAGAGCTCACTGATATGGTGGTAAGTAAGATGTGTGGACAAATTCCTTAGTCTTCACCTCAAGGTATGTGAGAGCTCACTGATATGATGGTAAGTAAGATGTGTGTACAGAATTCTTAGTCGTTACCTCAAGGCATGTGAGAGCTCACTGATATGATGGTAAGTAAGATGTGTGGACAGAATTCCTTAGTCAGTATACGTACCACAAGGCAGGCGAGAGCTCACTGTTATGATGGTAAGTAAGATGTGTGGACAGAATTCCTTAGTCGTTAACTCAAGGTATGTGAGAGCTCACTGATATGATGGTAAGTAAGATGTGTGGACAGAATTCTTAGTCGTTAACTCAAGGTATGTGAGAGCTCACTGATATGGTGGTAAGTAAAATGTGTGTACAGAATTCTTAGTCGTTACCTCAAGGTATGTGAGAGCTCACTGATATGATGGTAAGTAAGATGTGTGGACAAATTCCTTAGTCTTCACCTCAAGGCATGTGAGAGCTCACTGATATGATGGTAAGTAAGATGTGTGTACAGAATTCTTAGTCCTTACCTCAAGGTATGTGAGAGCTCACTGATATGATGGTAAGTAAGATGTGTAGGCAGAATTCCTTAGTCAGTACCTCAAGGTATGTGAGAGCTCTCTGATATGATGGTAAGTAAGATGTGTTGACAGAATTGCTTAGTCAGTACCTCAAGGTATTTTAGAGCTCACTGATATTATTGTAAGTAAGATGTTTTGACAGAATTCCTTAGTCAGTACTTTAAGGTATGTGAGAGCTCACCGATATGGTGGTAAGTAAGATGTGTGGACAGTGTGTACAGAATTCTTAGTCGGTACCTCAAGGCATGTGAGAGCTCAGTTATGATGGTAAGTAAGATGGGTTGACAGAATTCCTTAGTAAGTACCTCAAGGCATGTTAGAGCTCACTGATATGATGGTATGTAAGATGTGTGGACAGAATTCCTAAGGCATTACCTTAAGGTATGTGAGTGCTCACTGATATTATGGTAAGTAAGATGTGTTGACAAATTCCTTAGTCTTCACCTGTGCTCACTGTTATGATGGTAAGTAAGATGGGTCGACAGAATTCCTTAGTCTTTACCTCAAGGTATGTGAGAGCGCAGTGATATGATGGTAAGTAAGATGTGTAGGCAGAATTACTTAGTCAGTACCTCAAGGTATGTGAGAGCTCGCTGATATGATTGTAAGTAAGAGGTGTTGACAGAATTCCTTAGTAAGTGCATAAAGGTATGTGAGAGCGCACTGATATGATTGTAAGTAAGAGGTGTTGACAGAATTCCTTAGTTAGTGCATCAAGGTATGTGAGAGTTTACTGATATGATTGTAAGTAAGATGTATTGACAGAATTCCTTAGTCAGCGCATCAAGGTATGTGAGAGCTTACCGATATGATGGAAAGTAAGATGTGTTGACAGAAGTCCTTAGTCAGTACCTCAAGGCATGTGAGAGCTCTCTGATATGATGGTAAGTAAGATGAGTGGACGAATTCCTTAGTCTTCACCTCAAGGTATGTGAGAGCTTACTTATATGATTGTAAGTAAGATGTATTGACAGAATTCCTTAGTCAGGACCTCAAGGTATGTGAGAGCTTACTGATATTATTGTAAGTAAGATGTTTTGACAGAATTCCTTAGTCAGTAACTCAAGGTATGTGAGAGCTCACTTATATGATTGTAAGTAAGATGTCTTGACAGAATTCCTTAGTCAGTTCATTAAGGTATGTGAGAGCTCACCGATATGGTGGTAAGTAAGATGTGTGGACAGAATTCTTAGTCGTTAACTCAAGGTATGTGAGAGCTCAGATATGATGGTAAGTAAGATGAGTGGACGAATTCCTTAGTCTTCACCTCAAGGTATGTGAGAGCTTACCGATATGATGGAAAGTAAGATGTGTTGACAGAATTGCTTAGTCAGTACCTCAAGGTAGGTGAGAGCTCGCTGATATGATTGTAAGTAAGATGAGTTGACAGAATTCCTTAGTCATTGCATCAAGGTATGTGAGAGCTCACTAAAATGATGGTAAGTAAGATGTGTGGCCAGAATTCTTAGTCGTTACCTCCAGGCATGTGAGAGCTCACTGATAAGATGGTAAGTAAGATGTGTGTACAGAATTCTTAGTCGTTACCTCAAGGTATGTGAGAGCTGACTGATATGATTGTAAGTAAGAGGTGTTGACAGAATTCCTTAGTAAGTATCTCAAGGCATGTGAGAGCTCACTGATAAGATGGTAAGTAAGATGTGTGTACAGAATTCTTAGTCGTTACCTCCAGGCATGTGAGAGCTCACTGATATGATGTTAAGTAAGATGTGTAGGCAGAATTCCTTAGTCAGTACCTCAAGGCATGTGAGAGCTCACTGTTATGATGGTAAGTAAGATGGGTCGACAGAATTCCTTAGTCTTTACCTCAAGGTATGTGAGAGCGCAGTGATATGATGGTAAGTAAGATGAGTGGACGAATTCCTTAGTCTTCACCTCAAGGTATGTGAGAGCTTACCGATATGATGGAAAGTAAGATGTGTTGACAGAATTTCCTTAGTCTTCACCTCAAGGTATGTGAGAGCTCATTGATATGATGGTAAGTAATATGTGTTGACAGAATTCCTTATTCAGTGCCTCAAGGCATGTGAGTGAAATGATGGTAAGTAAGATGTGTAGGCAGAATTCCTTAGTCAGTACCTCAATGTATGTGAGAGCTCACTGATATGATTGCAAGTAAGATGTGTTGACAGAATTTCTTAGTCAGTACCTCAAGGTATGGGAGAGCTCACTGATATGGTGGTAAGTAAAATGTGTGTACAGAATTCTTAGTCGTTACCTCAAGGAATGTGAGAGCTCACTGATATGATTGGAAGAAAGATGTGTTGACAAATTCCTTAGTCTTCACCTGTGCTCACTGTTATGATGGTAAGTAAGATGTGCTGACAGAATTCCTTAGTCAGTCCCTCAAGGTATGTGAGAGCTCTCTGTTATGATGGTAAGTAAGATGTATGGACAGAATTCCTTAGTCAGGACCTCAAGGTATGTGAGAGCTTACCGATATGATGGAAAGTAAGATGTGTTGACAGAAGTCCTTAGTCAGTACCTCAAGGCATGTGAGAGCTCTCTGATATGGTGGTAAGTAAGATGTGCGGACAGAATTTCTTAGTCAGTACCTCAAGGTATGTTAGAGCTCACTGATATGATTGTTAGTAAGATGTGTTGACAGAATTGCTTAGTCAGTACCTCAAGGTAGGTGAGAGCTCGCTGATATGATTGTAAGTTAGATGTGTTGACAGAATTCCTTAATCAGTACCTCAAGGTATGTGAGATCTCACTGATATGATTGTAAGTAAGAGGTGTTGACAGAATTCCTTAGTAAGTATCTCAAGGCATGTGAGAGCTCAGTTATGATGGTAAGTAAGATGGGTTGACAGAATTCCTTAGTCATTGCATCAAGGTATGTGAGAGCTCACGGATATGATTGTAAGTAAGATGAGTTGACAGAATTCCTTAGTCAGGACCTCAAGGTATGTGAGAGCTCGCTGATATGATTGTAAGTTAGATGTGTTGACAGAATTCCTTAGGCAGTACCTCAAGGTATGTGAGTGCTCACTGAGTACCTCAAGGCATGTGAGAGATCACTGTTATGATGGTAAGTAAGATGGGTCGACAGAATTCCTTAGTCTTTACCTCAAGGTATGTGAGAGCTCGCTGATATGATTGTAAGTAAGATGTCTTGACAGAATTCCTTAGTCAGTTCCTCAAGGCATGTGAGAGCTCACTGTTATGATGGTAAGTAAGATGGGTTGACAGAATTCCTTAGTCAGGACCTCAAGGTATGTGAGAGCTTACTTATATGATTGTAAGTAAGATGTGTAGGCAGAATTACTTAGTCAGTACCTCAAGGTAGGTGAGAGCTCGCTGATATGATTGTAAGTAAGAGGTGTTGACAGAATTCCTTAGTTAGTGCATCAAGGTATGTGAGAGCTCACCGATATGGTGGTAAGTAAGATGTGTGGACAAATTCCTTAGTCTTTACCTCAAGGTATGTGAGAGCGCAGTGATATGATGGTAAGTAAGATGAGTGGACGAATTCCTTAGTCTTCACCTCAAGGTATGTGAGAGCTGACTGATATGATTGTAAGTAAGATGTGTCGACAGAATTCCTTAGTCAGTACCTTAAGGTATGCGAGAGCTCACTGTTATGATGGTAAGTAAGATGGGTTGACAGAATTCCTTAGTAAGTATCTCAAGGCATGTGAGAGCTCAGTTATGATGGTAAGTAAGATGTATTGACAGAATTCCTTAGTCAGTGAATCAAGGTATGTGAGAGCTCACCGATATGATTGTAAGTAAGATGTGTGGACAGAATTTCTTAGTCAGTACCTCAAGGTATGTGAGTGCTCACTGATATGATGGTAAGTAAGATGTGTTGACAGAATTCCTTAGTCAGTACCTCAAAATAATGCAATGGTAGTCTTATTTTCCAGTCAAATCAAGAATTAAATACATTAGGGAGTTGATGATCTGAGTTAAACATACTAGAACAATGACAGGTCATTAAGAGCCCCGCAAAGTTACTGACAACATCCCACCCCCACCCCCATGGTCTATTTTAAGTAATAGTTACCTTGACCTTGGGACATTTTTAAACTCAAACTGTACATCTACATAGTGTATCATTAAATCTAATTTCAAAAACATCAGTCTATTCAATTCCGAAATAATTACCCTACCCCCAAGGTACATATCAATTTAGTAACAGTGACCTTGACCTTAGAAAACTTTTAAACCCTTATTTGAAATCTACAAATGACAGTATATCACCATGCAAAAGATCAGTCTTTTGGATTTTAAGAAATCTCTGAAAACAACAGTGTGGAGTGATAGACAGACTGTTAAAGGGCACCTGTATCTCTGAGGTGGCCCTAATAAACGGCTCACACAGTTGCACGGTTTCAATGCATGCTACAGCTGTGTGATCGCACAACGTATCGAAACTACTGTGCATACATCGTACGCATACCGTCCACACATCCTATGCACATAATGCACACAACTGTGCTATTTTACAATTGATCGCCCCATCGTGTGATAAACACGCACACATATGTGTGATATGCAATAGGGTAAGATAGGTTAACTGATGTTACAAAATGAAATAATTTGGAAGGCTCGACTGAAATATGTAACATCATATATATACCGGTGAGATATCTGATTAGAATATTTTGCACTGCAAATCATGTTACACATTATTACAATGACTGTAAATCTGTCCATAATGCGGTTGTACTGTCAGGGTACAGTACATAGCCGTAGCGAATTGAATGGATCCATAGTTAATCTCCGATTAGAGTGTATTTACTGGGGACCATGACAGAGGTGCAAATAACTGAAACTTCAGATCATTGACAAATGTTACTTTTGTGTTTATAATATGCTAATAAGAAATAAAATTCATACAAATTAATGTGCTAAAATGCCAGCAATTTGTACCCGGGAATGAGAAAATGTCACTCATATCAACTCTGCGATGTGAAATGTCAGACATATATATATATGTATCTTTGGTGGTGTTTATAGAGTCTCTTACCTTGTAAATACATCTGTCCAAAGTCCCAGCATCTTCTCCAAGTTCCTGTCCAGACAGTAGGAGGAAAACATTAATCCCTGAAACAAATCAACACAATCATCACAATGATAATCAATATCATCAAATTTCTTTATTGTAGTTGTGTATAAAATGTGTGAAAAGCATTTTGAAATATATATATACCAGGTATGTAAAGTGTATTAAAATTTCTAGGAACATTCCTAATCATCTTTAGAATAATTGTATGTGTATTCTGTTAAAGAGGAGCCTCCTCATCAGTTTACAATGAAAACATACACATTCAATTATAGCTGAACCTGGCGGGATAGTGGGACGGCTGCATGATGTACATAACTGGGAGGATTTTGTCTGAATGAAGGGAGAGAACTCTTCCCCAGCAAGCCATTTTGACTGATATGTCTCGCCTATGCTCCGCTTTGACCATCAATGCACATATCAGAGAAACTAACTTAAATGCAAAAGCTTAATGCTGATGGAGATGCTGACGAAGTCAATGAAAAGTATTCAGCATTTGATGCATGGGTTGAGATGTACTACTTAAGATGCATCTATGGTCCACGTTTGGTTGGTCCAACACTTATACTTTCAGTGAAACTAACTTAATGTTGACGCCGTCGCCACTTTCACCACCATTGCCGGAAAAGCAACATCATAGTCTCGCTTCCACTTTTAATATGTTGTCCTGTGTGTGTTTACATGTTGGTACCTGTTGTCCTGTATGTGTTTACCTGTTGGTACCTGTTGTCCAGTGTGTGTTTACCTGTTTGTACCTGTTGGCCTGTGTGTGTTTACATGTTGGTACCTTTTGTCCTGTGTGTGTTTTCCTGTTGGTTCCTGTTGTCCTGTATGTGTTTGCCTGTTGGTACCTGTTGTCGTGTATGTGTTTACCTGTTTGTACCTGTTGTCCTGTGTGTGTTTACCTGTTGGTACCTATTGTCCTGTGTGTGTTTACCTGTACGTACCTGTTGTCCTGTGTGTATCAACTCCTCTGACTTGTTGTCCAGTGTGTGTTTACCTGTTTGTACCTGTTGTCCTGTGTGTGTTTACCCGTTGGTACTGGTGTGTGTTTACCTGTTGGTACCTGTTGTCCTGTATGTGTTTACCCTTTGGTACCAGTGTGTGTTTCCCTGTTTGTACCTGTTGTCCTGTATGTGTTTGCCCTTTGGTACCGGTGTGTGTTTTCCTGTTGGTACCTGTTGTCCTGTGTGTGTTTACCTGTTGGTACCTGTTGTCCTGTATGTGTTTACCCTTTGGTACCGGTGTGTGTTTACCTGTTGGTACCTGTTGTCCTGTGTGTTATTACCTGTTGGTATCTTTTGTCCTGTGTGTGTTTTCCCGTTGGTACCAGTGTGTGTTTACCTGTTGGTACATGTTGTCCTGTGTGTGGTTACCTGTTTGTACCTGTTGTCCTGTGTGTGTTTACCTGTTGGTACCTGTTGTCCTGTGTGTGTTTACTCATTGGTATCTGTGTGTGTTTACCTGTTGGTACCTGTTGTCCTGTATGTGTTTACCTGTTGGTACCGGTGTAGAAATCATTTCCTTCCCCGCCTGAAAGTTTCCTTGGGGAAAAAATCAGCTAGCTAATTCTTTCCCCGGGGAAGAAATAGGCTAGCTGATTCCTTCCCCGGGGAAGAAATAGGCTAGTTGATTCATTCCCCGGGGGAATGAATCAGCTAGCTGATTCTTTCTCCCCTCAGTTAGTTTTTTCCCCGGGGGAAGAAATCAGCTAGCTAATTCTTTCCCCCCACCCCATATTATTATTTTTTCCCCGAGGAAGAAATCTGCTATTTATTGCTCCCCCTCGTAGTGTTTGTTAATGGGGGATATTGGTGACTAGCCAATCCTTTTCCTCCGAATTAGTTATTAGGGGGGAAGTTATTGGCTAGCTGATTCTTTCCCCCCCTCTCTGTATTATTAACTAAGGGGAAACTATTGGCTAGCTGATTCTTAAACCTTTAGCTGATTCTTTCGCCCCTCTCTGTATTAGTAACTAGGGGGAAAACTATTGGCTAGCTGATTCTTTCCCCCCTCTGTATTAGAAACAAGAGGGAAAACTATTGTCTAGCTGATTCTTTCCCCCCTCTCTGTATTAGTAACTAAGGGGGAACTAATTGTCTGTATGATTCTTTCCCCCCTCTGTATTAGTAACCAGGGGGAAACTATTGTCTAGCTGATTCTTTCCCCCCTCTCTCTGTATTATTAACTAAGGGGAAACTATTGGCTAGCTGATTCTTAAACCTTTAGCTGATTCTTTCGCCCATCTCTGTATTAGTAACTAGGGGGAAAACTATTGGCTAGCTGATTCTTTCCCCCCTCTGTATTAGAAACAAGAGGGAAAACTATTGTCTAGCTGATTCTTTCCCCCCTCTCTGTATTAGTAACTAAGGGGGAACTAATTGTCTGTATGATTCTTTCCCCCCTCTGTATTAGTAACCAGGGGGAAACTATTGTCTAGCTGATTCTTTCCCCCCTCTCTGTATTAGTAACTAAGGGGGAACTAATTGTCTGTATGATTCTTTCCCCCCTCTCTGTATTAGTAACCAGGGGGAAAGAATCAGCTAGCCAATAGTTTCCCCCTAGTTACTAATACAGAGATGGGGAAGGAATCAGCTAGCCAATAGTTTCCTTTCCTAATTGCTTACTTACACAGAGAGTAGGGATAGAATCAGCTAGCCAATAGTTTCCCCCCTAATTGCTTATACAGAAAGGGGGGAAATAGTTTCCTCCCCCATCCACCCACAAATCAATGCCAAGGGGGTAGAGAACCAACCAGCCAATAGTTCCCCCTCCTTAAAAAATCAATATTAGGAGGAAAATCTGCATGCTAGTAGTTTGCTCCTTCCTTGAAATTAATACAAAAAAAAAGAGAGACAGAAAAAAATAAGCTAGTTATTTTCACTGGAAGGGAAAAATTGGCTAGTTATTTTCCCCCGGGGCGAAATTATCAGCTAGCTAATTTCTTCCCCCGGGGAAAGAATCCACTAGCTGATTTCTTCCCCCCGGGAAAAAACTATCTTGTGGGGGAAAGAATCAGCTAGCTGATTCTTTCCCCAGGGAAACTTTCAGCGGGGGGGAAAGAAGTGGCTGTTACACCGGTGTGTGTTTACCTGTTCGTACCTGTTGTCCTGTGTGTGTTGTGTGTGTTTACCTGTTGGTACCTGTTGTCCTGTGTGTGTTTCCCTGTTCGTACCTGTTGTCCTGTGTGTGTTTACTCATTGGTATCTGTGTGTGTTTACCTGTTGGTACCTGTTGTCCTGTAAGTGTTTACCTGTTGGCATCTTTTGTCCTGTGTGTGTTTTCCCGTTAGTACCGGTGTGTGTTTACCTGTTGGCACCTGTTGTCCTGGGTGTGTTTACCCATTGGTACCGGTGTGTGTTTACCTGTTGGTACCTGTTGTCCTGTAAGTGTTTACCTGTTGGCATCTTTTGTCCTGTGTGTGTTTTCCCGTTAGTACCGGTGTTTGTTTACCTGTTGGCACCTGTTGTCCTGTGTGTGTTTACCCATTGGTACCGGGGTGTGTTTACCTGTTGGTACCTGTTGTCCTGTGTGTGGTTACCTGTTGGTACCTGTTGTCCAGTGTGTGTTTACCTGTTGGTACCTGTTGTCCTGTAAGTGTTTACCTGTTGGTATCTTTTGTCCTGTGTGTGTTTTCCCGTTAGTACCGGTGTGTGTTTACCTGTTGGCACCTGTTGTCCTGTGTGTGTTTACCCATTGGTACCGGTGTGTGTTTACCTGTTGGTACCTGTTGTCCTGTAAGTGTTTACCTGTTGGTATCTTTTGTCCTGTGTGTGTTTTCCCGTTGGTACCTGTGTGTGTTTACCTGTTGGTTCCTGTTGTCCTGTGTGTATCGACTTCTCTGACTTGTCCTGTGTGTGTTTACCTGTTTGTACTTGTTGTCCTGTTTGTGTTTACCGGTACGTACCTGTTGTCCTGTGTGTATCGACCTCTCTGATTTGTTGTCCTGTATGTGTTTACCTGTTCGTACCTGTTGTCCTGTGTGTATTGACCTCTCTGATTTGTTGTCCTGTGTGTGTTTACCTGTTCGTACCTGTGTGTGTTTACCTGTTTGTACCTGTTGTCATGTGTGTGTTTACCTGTTCGTACGTGTTGTCGTCTGTGTGATGAGCCTTGACATGAACTCCAGCAGACAGTCCCCCCGTGTATAAGTCAATGTCCTGTGAGAGAGACTTATAATCATAATCTCCTGCTCCCATCCTGTTAACAGACACAACCAATCTATTATAATCTCACCAATCACAAGTGATAGTCAATAACATTATCTAACTCTTAAATACTTCAGTTTTTCTGGCCATGAAAAGATCCAAAACACAATCTCCCTGAAAATGTGTTATAGAATTTATGACAAGTTTACAGATAGCAAGTTATATTATATGTGTTAATAGGATTTAATTTAATAGGAAAAAAGATGGATGCAGTAAAATATCTCCCTCTATATCTATATCAACGATACAAAACATACGTATAATATATTTACATTCAATTCTAACAAACATGTAAAAACTTACAAATTTGCCAAGTGATCATATTTCATATATATATTTTTCAAGTGTTCATCCAAATTGACCTCAAATTCTTTAAATGTAGTTGAGCCTATAACTCTCTTTCCGAAGCTGTTCCATATTCTTACTGTCCTGAAGTTGAAACTGAATTTTCTGAGATCTAAATTGCATTGGTTTATCTTTGATTTTTTGTGAATGATCGCAAGTTCTTGATAAGTGTTGGATGTCGGATCATTGTCACATACAAGAGGTTGATGACTTTGTGATGTTGTTGAAAAAAGAGATCCCTTCCTTCACACCCGACGTTACTTACTTTGTGATGACGTTACAGAAGAGAGGTACGTAGGGTTTAAGATCATCCGACACTGAGGCTAGGTTTGATATCATCGTCAGGTACGATACCCCGTTGGTTGGCGCTTCACATTTCTGTACCGGTACACCTCCTACAAAGCAAACATCATGAATGACTTCAAACCAAACACTAAATACATCAAGAATATCTGCACAAACACTAAATACATCAAGAATATCTGCACAAACACTAAAGACATCAAGAATATCTGCACAAACACTAAATACATCAAGAATATCTCCACTATTTCATGCAATATATAAAGTCTGATTTTCTTAACGATCCAACTACATCTTTCCACACACCAACTGTATTTGTACTGAACCCAACACATTACCAAGTAACATAAAATGACATAAACAAAGACTTGGGTAAATAATATATAAATATAATGGGTTTGAAAATTACTTGTTTATTACCTGGTACATCAATATCTCAAGAAAGTTTCTAGTCTGATAAGGCAAGTGCATTTCGGAGTCGCTTACAAGTAATTTGAAGAGTAATAAGTTTAAATTTTTTGCCTAGTTTTACAGCAGAATACAAGCCAAAAAGAAATTGCCTAAATGAAACAATGAAGAATATCTTTCCATTTTCAATAAAAATTATTCTACTATTTTTCCCAATTCATGTAGGAACAGGCTTTTAGGTAAAAAAACACTGGTTATTTTTTACACTTACCATATATTGATTTTATAAGTGATAAAAAGAAGATATTGTATGTGAGGACAGCATCATTAGTAACATATACAACTCACAGATGTGTAACATAACAAACAAAACACAGACTTCTTTATACCTAATTCTATGGTTTCTACTGGTTCTGGCTTTATTCCTCTCTCAATCTCGTGCAGGTGGATTGTGGGAAGACAATCCAAATCCTCAGGAGACATTTGTTTTTCCAGCAGTTTCTTTCCTTGAAAAACAATATATACATATGCGGTGAAAAATCCTGATTGTTTCATCACATACATACAACAGATATACTATATACCTGGAAATTTTCCGCCCAGTCAAACTTTCACCCTTCGCACATGAGATCAATTACCGCCCAGTCAAACTTTCACCCTTCGCCCATGAGATCAATTAGTGTCCAGTCAAACTTTCACCCTTCGCACATGAGATCAATTACCACCCAGTAAAACTTTCACCCTTCGCCCATGAGATCAATTAGTGTCCAGTCAAACTTTCACCCTTCGCACATGAGATCAACGACCGCCCAGTCAAACTTTCACCCTTTGCCCATGAGATCAATTACCGCCCAGTGCTAATTTCACCCTTCGCACATGAGATCAATTAGTGCCCAGTGCTAATTTCACCCTTCGCCCACGAGATCAACGACCGCCCAGTCAAACTTTCACCCTTTGCCCATGAGATCAATTACCGCCCAGTCAAACTTTCACCCTTCGCAAATGAGATCAATTAGTGCCCAGTGCTAATTTCACCCTTCGCCCATGAGATCAATTACTGCCCAGTGCTAGTTTCACCCTTCACATATAACTACTATGTATATTATGCTGCTTACAAAAAAAGTGAAAATATGACTGCAGCTAAAATTTCCTAGTATGCAGTATTTATGTCTCATAAACCTGACCTGTGTCCCTTCTACTGTGACCTTTTAGCATGTGCCCCTTCCCCTGTGACCTTTTGCCTGTGACCTTTCACCTGTGCCCCTTCCCCTGTGCTCCTTCCCCTGTAACCTTTCACCTGTGCCCCTTCCCCTGTGCCCCTTCCCATGTTACCTTTCACCTGCGCCGCATCACTTTTGCTCTCTGTATTTTAACCTGTCAACTACACTGCAATCAACTGTGTCTTTCATCGATTACTTTATAACTCTACCCCATTAATTCCATGCCAGTCTAAAATGGAATGCGACAGTCACATGATGACTGGCACAATGGTAATCTAATGATATTTGGAATAAAATCTGGATTTCAAAGCTGACAAGAGGAATGAAGTTTACTGAGTGACTGCATGATTGTATAAAAATTGAGGATTAGTAATTTCATCAGGATCCTATCTCTCATCATTCATGCCCCAGTATAAGCCCTTACTTGAGTCATAAGTGACACCTGAACTTGCGACCCCTGGTATACCATGAGACCCTTAACCTGTGACCTCCTCCAAGCCTTCTTACCAGTTTCTCTGTCCTTTATAGTGAAGTCCAACCCTCTGACCCCCTTCTGGTTCTGTTCTTTCACCTTTGTTCCTTCCATTGTGACTCACTGATTCGTACCCAATATCTTGTGCACTCCTGACCTGCATAATCACTTACCTGTGTCAAAAATATTCTTGCAGTCAGATGTGGTCAGCTGACTGACATGCCTTTTCAGCCTCTCAGCCTCCTCCTTGGTTCTGCCCTCCTCGAAGTCTTTGTCTGGCTCCATGGTGGTCACAAGACAGTGTTGGTTGTCCTACAGATACACAGTCATGTACATTCAAGGGCAATAACTCATGTGTATTAACTAACACTAAATTGAAGTATGTCTAGACAGCAGGGTCATTTTGTAACAATACTGAATGCTGTGTAATTCAGTCAAGGGCAATAACTCCTGTATATTCAGACAGTGGGGTCATTTTGTAACTATACAAAATACTACACAATTCAGTCAAGGGCGATAACTCCTGTATAAACTAACACTAATTAAAAGAATATTCACACAGTGGGGTCATTTTGTAACTATACAAAATACTACACAATTAATGGAGTGGAGCACAAAACTGTACAATCTACTCAAGGGCAATAACTCCTGTATATTAGCTACCACTTCATAGAGTGGAGTTGTGTTGTTTAGGAACACAAAACTGTACGATCCAGTCAAAGGCAGTTACTCCAGTATATTAGCTACAATTTCGTTGAGTGGAGTTGTGTTGTTTAGGAACACAAAACTGTATGATCCAGTCAAGAGCAATTACTCCTGTACATCAACAACTGTATTTATCCAGCAATAAGCCCATGCTGGTAATATTTGTTTGTTTGTTTGTTTATGTTTAACGGCCCATCGACGGCTGTGGTCATTTAGGGCCATGGTGATTTATTTATTTATTTTACTTTTTTAACAAACATGTGAATAGCGAAGATAAAATGGTTCATTTTAAAAGTATTCGCATTGTATGTGTAGATAATAAAAAATAAATAAAAGGGAGTTAAAATAATAAAAGAGATAACGAATAGATGATATGGAATATGCGATATATATATAACGTCAAAAATGATAAGGTGGGTTAAAAGACATCAGAGTCTATAAAATAGCCCGATGTCTTTCAAATAGTTAAATAATGCCTTCGAATCCACGGAACTGAAAAGTGTTTTCATATCCGGGACTCGGAAGTAGTTATCACGAATGTGTTTAAAATCGGAACATTCTATTAAAAAATGCTCCACTGTAAATGGAGTGTCACATGCGTGGCATGAAGGTATATCTTCTCGTTTTAAAAGGTACGAATGAGTAGGATATGTGTGCCCAGTGCGGAGCCGAGCGAGGACAACTTCCTCTCTACGATCTTTCCGACTGGGAATAGATGTTTTAAGTTTCGGTTGTATCTTAAAAAGTTTGTTGTTGGTCTCCAGAGACCAGCGTTTCTGCCATTCATTTTGAATGGCTGTACGAATAGTAGGTTTAAAATCTGTGTATGGTAGTTTGATATTTGTTTGTTCGAGATTCAATGCATTTTTTGCTTCCCTGTCAGCAAATTCGTTGCCTTTTATTCCGACATGGCTCGGAATCCATAGTAAAGTTATTTTAGACTTTTTTAATATACGAGATATTCGAAGAGCAAGGTTTTGTACGATTGTGTTTTTAGGATCTCGTAACTGTAAACTCTGTAGGACAGATAGAGAGTCTGAACAAATAATTGCCTTTTTAATGCGGTGTTCATCGATATGGTCGAGGGCCAAACCAATGGCGCATGCTTCAGCAGAAAAGATGGAGGCGCCGTCTGGTAGTCGGACTGAAGTGCAAGTATTGGCAGTACAGCAGGCTGCTGCCACTTTCTCACCTTCTTTGGAGCCATCGGTGTAAAGTTGTGTATGAGAAGGGTAATTCGAAATGCATTCCCGAAAGGAGGATTTGTGTTCTTCGGGCATAACACTTGATTTCCCTCGCTCATGTAATGTAAAGTTAAAATCGGGGGTTTGAATGGTCCACGGAGGAACATCAGATATGTTAAATTCAGCTATGTCCGTCAATTTTATGTTGAGTTCTTGCAGGAAATTCAAAATTCGGATACCAAATGTTGGCAGAAGTTTTTGGTTTTGCGTAAATATGTTTTGGTATTTGGGGTTGAATACTTGGTTGAAAGCAGGATTTTTAGGGTTTGATTTTAATTGAGTTGCAAATTGTAATGAAAGTTTTATTCTTCTGTCATAAAGGGATGGTTCATTTGCTTCCACGTACAGGCTTTTTACAGGTGTTGTTCGAAAAGCTCCCAGGGCAAGACGTAGCCCTTGGTTATGGATTGGATCTAGCATCTGAAGGTACGAACTGCGCGCTGACCCGTATACCATAGAACCATAATCCAGTTTTGTTCGAATAAGTGATCTGTATAGGCGCAAAAGCATTTCACGATCCGCTCCCCAATCAGTATGAGAAAGGACTCGTATAATGTTTAACGCCTTGGAACACTTATCCTTCAGATACTTTATATGTGGTATGAAAGAGAGTTTCGAATCAAAAATGAGGCCGAGAAATTTAGTCTGTTCAACAACAGGAATTCTAGTGCCATCGAGTGTTAGATTTGGGTCATTGTGTGCTTTTCGTTTTTGACAGAAATGCATGCACACAGTTTTGGATTTAGAGAATTTGAAGCCGTTTTCGTCTGCCCAATTTTGTAGTTTGTTTAAACTCTGTTGAAGTTGTCGTTCTATCGTGTGCATGTTCTTAGATCTGTAACAGATCAAGAAGTCATCCACAAATAACGACCCTTCTGTTGATTGACCAAGACATTTGACTATATCATTTATTTTAAGTCCAAACAGTGTGACTGATAGGATTCCACCCTGTGGGACTCCCATTTCCTGTTTAGACGTTTCAGAAAAAGTTGAACCAACACGGACTTTGAAGTGTCTATCTGATAGGTAATTAGATATAAAATTGGGAAGGTTTCCACGTACGCCAAGGTCGTGAAGATCTTTCATGATGCCATACTGCCATGTAGTATCATAGGCCTTCTCAAGATCGAAGAACACAGCGACAAGGTGTTCTTTCTTGGCGAAAGCCTCTCGAATGAACGTCTCTAATCTGATGAGATGGTCATTTGTCCCTCTTCTATTTCTAAAGCCACTTTGAAGAGGGGATATTATATCGTTGGCCTCAAGAAACCAAACCAGTCTAGTGTTTATCATTCGTTCCAAAGTTTTACATACACAACTAGTCAGAGAGATAGGACGATAGTTGTTTGGGTCAGTAGCATCCTTTCCCGGTTTTGGGATAGGTATAATTGTGGAGTTCTTCCACGAATCGGGAATCTTTCCGGAAGCGTAAACTTGGTTGAATATGTAAAGAAGGCATGTTAGTGAAGAGTCCGGTAAGTGCTTTAGAAATTGATATGGAATATCATCAGGACCTGAAGCAGTGTCCTGTGATTTTCTAAGCGAATCAACAAGTTCTGGTAGGGTAAATTGTTCATTATAACTTTCTTTGTTTGATGATTTGAAATTGAGCCGTTTCTTTTCTCTCTTTTTTTTCAAAGACTGGAATTTTTGGGAGTGGTTTAAAGGGGATGAGTTTTTAGCTATGTTTTTTGCAAATGCATCAGCAATTTCAGTTATAGACGAGAAAATTTTGTTTTTATTAATGAGGTGGGAGGATGTTGCCTTTTTCTTTTTCCCACTTATTTTCCGAATCATATCCCATACTTTTTTTGAGGACGTGTTTGATGATATCTTGGATACATATTCTCTCCAGCTGTTTCTTTTGTCAATTTTAATTGATCGCCGAGCCTTTGCCCGCCAAATTTTAAATTCACTGTAGTTTGAAGCAGTTGGGCAATTGAAGTAGCGTCTTAGAGCAGCTGCCCGATTACTGCGTGTTTTAAAAGATTCTTCAGATAAAAGGAACTTCGTAGGTTTTGGAGCGGATTTTGGAATTGTCTTTTGGGCAATTGAAGTGAGTGTTTCAGTAAAAGTTTTGATAGGGTCGTCGAGGTTAGTAAAATTGTCTATGGTTAGTTTTTCAATGCACATGTGTTGGAATTGGGCCCAATCTGCTTTGTGCATATTCCATCGAGGTAGAGGATCATCAAGAGGAGTCCCAATATTCTGAAGAAAAATTGGGAAGTGGTCACTCCCACAAAGATCATCATTTACCCTCCAGTCATAGTCAAGTAAAATGGATGGATGGCATAATGATAGATCAATGTGGGTACGAGAGCCTGTAGCAGGGTGTAAATAAGTAGGGGTATTGTTGTTAAAAAGGCACAAGTTGTTTTTATCTATAAATTCCTCAATACGTCTTCCTCTCTCGTCTGTGTTGGGAGAGCCCCACAGGCTATTATGACCATTAAAATCACCGAGGATTATGAATGGTGTTGGGAGCTGGGAGACGAGATTATTGAGTTGCTCACAAGTGAAAACTGGTAATAAGCCAGCCAATAAATATTGTAGTTCATGATCAGAAGAAATGAAAAAAATTATGTAATGCCATCTACCCATTCTCCGAGTAGGAAGTAATGATCTTTTTCTGCATTGTTTTACATGCATTAACAAGCTGCTTTCCCTAGAAAAAAAATGAAGAAAAAAAATGAGGAATATCTTCCATTCTTTATTTACCCTTAGGCTGCTACATTATTTTCTATGTAAAGGGACACCACTGCTGAATTAATTATTGAAATTTAAATTAATTTATTTAATTTTTCAAATGTGCATAACTTGAAAAATATTTGTTATATGTGAAAAAAAGTTATATGAAAATTGTTTGTTGTTGTCTTATATTAACGTTTTCAATTCTTAAGTTGCTTGAGTATTTATCTGTACAGGTGGTAATAAAGGTAAGAAAAAATGAATCTTTTAATCAATCAGATTTAAGCAAGAGAAAGATCATTTTAAAATTATTTTTGTCCGCAAATGTGATTGGCAAATGATAACAGAGATTATAAACTTCATTTTTGACATAAGACGCTGTACATTTACACGGAGATTCTCAGGTAAAAAGGTCAGGTATTTCGTCAAGAATTGCATGTGATTTGCTACAGGTTTCAGGTCGTCATTCAATATATTTACTGTCACCGTCGGCATATAGATATATCTTAGCTACGGTCTAGTTTACGATTAAATCATCGATAAAAAGTTTGAAGTAATAAATCGGCTCAAAACGTATCAATGTCAATGTTCAATTCGGCCTCACGTGCAGACGACATGTGCGCCTCGGTCCGCCAATATTTTCCTGTTTGCATAGGGGACAAAGCCGTTCATTGGAAAGTTACATATTATGTTACACCAAAGTATTTCCACATCAACCATGTCAAACCCTTCAAAACCTTTATTATCATCATAGGTGACACTGGAGAATAAATGTTAACCATCGTATTCATCACTTCAATCTACGCGTCCGCCATTTGTATGACTTTTTTTCGATTTGAAATTCTCTCGCACACCTTTGGTCATTACTAGGGTACACTGCCGGGAATATCGAAAGTAATGACAAAACAACCAATCAGAAGCCTTCTATTATACGCGTTCGGGTTTGCTATAGCAGCAACCCGACTTCACACTTCCTGGCTATCGATCAAAACCTACAGACCGAGAAACGGCATATGCCGTGCGTAGCACTGACGACCCGACTTTTCAAAACGGCATATGCCGTGCGTAGCAGCCTAAGGGTTAAAAATATCACTATATTGTACGTACATGCTGCTGTAATTTAAGGAAGAAAAAGGAAGCTATAGCTACCAGCCTAATATCATGACTCCAGGTATTTCCATTCTTCAGAAGAAGTCACTTAAAGGAAAAGTTGATTGACGAAGGATGGATGGACAACGTGCCACAGCATACACACACTTGCCCTTCAGGCAGGTGAGCTAAAAATCACTGGTGTTGGACTCCTGGGCCAACTACAGCGTAAATATGTGAATATTAAACGGGTCTATATTTAAAGAGGTGGGGGAGATGTCCAAGCTAGCAAGCCTAAATTTCACTGAAATAAACATGACCTGTTAACTATTTACCCTTTCATTCATTAATACCACCTTCTATACTGACCTTGAAGTGCTCCTTGACCTTGTCCTGAAGGAAGTTTGGGTTGTCAGCCATGGCCTGTCTAAACCGTGTAATGTGATTGTTGATCTGCAGTGCCAACATTGGGTCCCCATCATGGTTCCATACTGATGCCAGATTCTGTTTGAAAACAAGACATTGTATATACTTTAGGTATACAGTTTATTTCAATAGTACTGTAGTACCCTGGCCCACTTGTGCTACAATTTTATCCAAAATCAAACTTAAGGGGAGGATAAATCAAATCTGAAAAACTTCGTTGGAACTCTTTAGTGTTTTGCCTGCAGTGGGACAGGCATCCTTAAGTTGAGCATGGTATACTGATAACACATGGTAAACATGAGGATACTCTAGGGATCTAGAAACAAATTTTCATACAAATATAAATCTGTTATCTTATACATTCCATTCTCTCTCACCTCACCCCCTAGTAAACCTTGGGACCCCACAATAAGCCTGTAGAGCGACAGGAACAAACCATACATGAGAACTCTAACAACTGAGCTACCTGGTCACCAGTGAACGACCAAGACTAGTTACGCTACATTCCTCCCTCCTTTTCCTAAGTCCTCGCCACCAATGACAACAGTATTTAGAAGCCACAGCATTCACCTATTACTTGAAACAAGGATTGGTCACAGGCACCACAGGTAAGGAAAATGCACGGCAACATGGTGATTCAAACACGGGACACTCCGAACTCTCGATGGACACTCTACAAATTGAGAGACCTGGTTGACAGCACACAACCCTTTCCAGTTCTGTTTATTTTTTATATTTTGTTACTGATAGAATAAAAACCGAAATGCCATGACAGTTACAGATACGTTAGAGTACACATGGCCATGCCTACCAATGCCATGACAGTTACAGATACGTTAGAGTACACATTGCCATGCCTACCAATGCCATGTTGAGTCCAAAGTTTCTGGCCTGATGTTTCAGCCCCAACTCAAGACGATGTAGCAGGGCATCTATATTCTTCTGGTCGAAGCCCTCACTGTAGGTCAAAGTTAACAGATTACAAATTATTACACAACATTTACAAAAGAGCCCCAGATACATTCGTTTACATGTTCTTTTTCACCCCTATGATGTTATTGTAATTTATAATACATTTATTTTATTATATTTTTCACCCTCTTTCCTGTTAATATACTTTTTTCCAGGTGTGAATTTGCACCCAACTATTTATTACGGTTATTGTTCTATCAAGATAAGCACCAAAATATATTTCAATTAGGAATTATTTTCATATTTTTTTTATATATTTCCATCTACCATAAATCACAAAGTTTATAGATATTTGATACCCTATTAAATTTTGATTTGAACACAAACAGAAACTGGAAACTAATTTTGTGAGCTTTCAAAAACACTGTTTCCTTTGTCAAGCAGAAATAAATTGACCCTTGTCTCGAGTCTATACAGCTGAAAATAACTGACTAAGCCACAATTTACGAAGTCAGTAAATATATAGTATAAACTTTATTTATTTTATAATGATTACGATAAAAGTTATTTCAGCTTATATTAATCACTCTTGTTGGCCCGCATGTTAGCGCGCTACATCTTATTGTGGGAGAAAACTGGAGTACCCAAAAAAAAACATGTGGTTGGGCAGGCAGGTGACCCCATATATCTTTATGTCCAATTGGGGAGTCAAACCCCCGCTATCTTTGTGATAGGCAAGTGCGCTATAGACTAGCTCCCAAAGTCAGTCAAGTCAGCTATCAGGATGATATGGAGACATTTCGTTCAATAACACTCTAATGTTGCAGGCAGTCAGAGGGATAGTACTCTATTTACCCATTCTACCCCTTGTGGATGTTAATATTCCTAATGGGAATTCAACATCTACTAAAGGACAGAATGGGTAAATTTTTTCGAGAGCCCACAAAATAAATTCTCAGGTACTGTTTGCATTCATAGCACATATATATATATCAATCATACCAGATTGATGAATCTCATTCTGAATAAAAATATTCCACTTCTAATTTCCTGTTGATTGGCTTGCACTAAATCGTGTGTTATACTCTTTAACATCATTTAATATGTTTTCTTTTTATATAACGACTGTCATGATGACTTACCTGATGACCTTGTCAAAGGTCGCAGTGATAATGTCCTTGACCTTGTCTACATCGTCCGAATGGATACCGCGTAGTCCGACAGAAAAGACTGCTTCCTTCATCTGTTCCTGGTATCTGAAACAGATTTATACTATTTTATTACGTCTGATTCAGGTAGGAATGATATATATTCGTAACTGATCAGATGTACAGATGAATCCTAGAGGTTTCAGTACCTGTTTTCCCTTTCTCGGTACCTAAGATAGGATGTTTCAGTAAGTTTTCATTAAGATGAAAAACGCTGAAGATCCTTTGAAAATTTTATTTTAATCAGCAACAAATAAGATACAAAAAGTAATAGAATTGCAAAATAAAAAGTCCAGCTGCCAAAAATGACCTTTGGGAAGTACAGAACATATTAAAGTACCAAAACATCTCAAACTAAAAACGACCAAGTACCAAAATGTCTTGATCTTCATATATAACAATGTACTACCAAATTGCACAAATATGGCTATATATAGGTTATCATTGTTTAGCTATTTTAAATCTTATTAAATGTTGTCATCTTGATTAAACTTATTTTTTCTTCAATCATCTACTATCCGCGATAGTTGCAGTGCTCGTACTGTCTGTTGTCCCCCATCATGGCACATGATAAAAAAAAATGACGATGTTGGTCGAACCTCTGACTCGTAAAAAAAACATGTATTCCTCGAACTATTGATCTGGACCCTACAGGGTTTTACTGAACTACTCCTAAACCAAAATCAGCAAAAACGATCAACATCCCATTCTTACCCAGTCAGAGGGGCGTAATCAGAGCCAATATTTGCCTCGAGTAGAGCTTGATAAAAAGGGGATGTTTCTCCATCGGTCAAAAGGGTGCTAATGACATTCATGGTGAAAGATTCAAATACATCAGAAATTCTGAAAATAAACAAAACATAAAATAAATAAATCATTTTTTATGCATACAGAATTGTATTGGGAGGAAATGTTTCAAACAGTTTCTTTAACAATACATAGTTTTATAGGATATGGCAAAAGAGATAATTAAAACAAGGAACCCCGCTATTCCACCAGTTCCAGAGTAACATAATACTGGTAATGAGGGTTCTATGACATGGTATTAACAAGCCTTTCATATAGATATGTCTCGCCTATGCCCTGCTTTGACCATCAATGCACAAATTAGAGAAACTAACTTAAATGCAAAAACTCAATGTTGATGGAGATGCTGACAAAGTCAATGGACAAATGAAAGGTAGGCCACAGCATTTGATGCATGGGTTGCGATGTACTACGTAAGATGCATCTATGGTCCATGTTTGGTTGGTCTAGCACTCACACTTTCAGAGAATTTAACTTAAACGCAAAACCTTAATGTTAACGCCGTCGCCGGAAAAAGCAAGAAAAACAAGTTTCAAAGGAATAACTCATTTTAACAATGATGGCCAACAATCTCGCACTGATGACTGAAAATCTGATATTTAAGGATCACTGGCTACAAACACTCTTACACTAAATGTTTATACTCTGTTAGATAAAAACTTGCTTCAACTTACTCTGACAGCAGGAAACTGGCCGAGACTATCGTCTGCTTCTCGCTTGCTGTTGGGTCGTGGGGACATGTGATACGTGCTGCCCTCTGTGAACATGAAAGTTAACTGAATACAGAGAAAGCTACTGTAAAATTATTCCTTTTCTGAAGTACTAGGGGCATTAAGGGGCATTTACTGCCTCATTGGGGATTTAGAATTAGTTGTTCTATTCGTAATCAGAAATAAATGAAGTACGCAAATATGAAATTTCAAATTCTTTTGACAACTGATTTAGGAGATATGGCATTACAAATAGAGACATATTGTGACTATTGTCTGTTTTAGTTGAAATTGACCATTTTGAAGGAAATTTACTGAACACTCTTCAACTTTCAATTTTTGAGTGCCTTCGCTCAAACATTGTCGTACCCAGAGTTTATTCATAGAAAGGAATTTTTGTTAGTCACGTGTGGAGGGTTTCATTTCTGCATGCTAACTGTTCATATTTTGACTATTTCTGCATAGCAACGCAATTTTGTGGCCATGATAGGGCATCTACGCATGTGCATTGGAAAAATTCTGCACCAAGAAAGATAGCCAATTAAAGTTGAAATTTATATTTTTTTATGAGGCCAAAAGTGACCCATAACGCCAAGTCCTTTCCTCTGTATAATTTCTGTTGTTCAGCTTAACAAGAGGCCCAATGGGCCTGAATCGCTCACCTGGTATTAATCTCACACTTGTAATCTTAAAAGTGGACTAAAATACAGCTACAGGCAGAATATCAGTGTTTGATTCATAGGAACCTATTAAAAGATTTAAACATATGACGCCTGTGACCTTGAATGTCGAACAAGGACATTAGGTTGAACAGAGTTTAAAGTCTTCCAACCCAGCATGCTTTTAGCAAAATATCATAACCCTAGACCTATTGGTTATACAGAACAAGTCATTTAAAGATTTAAACATATATTGACCACTGCGACCTTGAATACGGGCGAAGGTCATTCATTTTGACAAAATTGGTAGCCCCTAATCCCAGCCTGTTAATGACCAAATATCATCACCCTTGGTCTTTGGCTAATTTAGAAGAAGTCGTTTAAAGGTTTTAAACATATTTGCCCCCTGTGACCTTGAATATAGGGAAAGGTCATTCATTTGAACAAACTTGGTGGCCCTTCATTCTAGCATGTTTCTTGCCAAATATCACTAGCCTAGGCCTCTTTGTTATTCAGAAGAAGCTGTATAAAGATTTTCTATGACAATTGACCCCTGTCATTCATTTGAACAAACTTGGTAGCCCTTAATCACAGCATGCTACTGGCCAAATAGCGTAACCCTATGCCTCTTAGTTATTCAAAAGTTGTTGTTTAAAGGTTTTAAACATATTTGACCCCTGTGACCTTGAATATAAGTCAAGGTCAGTCATTCGAACAAACTTGGTAGCCCTTAATCACAGCATGCTACTGGCCAAATAGCGTAACCCTATGCCTCTTAGTTATTCAAAAGTTGTTGTTTAAAGGTTTTAAACATATTTGCCCCCTGTGACCTTGAATATAGGGAAAGGTCATTCATTTGAACAAACTTGGTAGCCCTTCATTCTAGCATGTTTCTTGCCAAATATCATTAGCCTAGGCCTCTTTGTTATTCAGAAGAAGCTGTATAAAGATTTTTTATGACAATTGACCCCTGTCATTCATTTGAACAAACTTTGTAGCCCTTCATCCCAGCATGCTACTAGCCAACAAGAGGCCCCGATGGTCGGAGAAGGATTTTAAAGGTTTTACCTCTATTTCTCCTATTGGACCCCGCCCTTCTGCCCCCCCCCCCCCCTTCTAAGAAACCACACCTACTGCTAATACAAAATTGAGACCCCTTGACCCAAAGATGCTCCAGACTAAATTAGGATAAAATCCCTTAATCCCTATGGTAGAAGAAGGATTTTAAAGGTTTGACCTCTATTTTCCCTATTGGTCCCCGCCTCTCTGCCTACAGGGGGGTCAGTCACACCGTTAATACAAAATTGGTTCCCCTTCCCCAAGAATGCTTCAGACCAAATATGGACGAAATCATGTCAATCCTACCAAAGAAGAAGGATTTTGAAGAATAATTTGCTATGTTTCCCCTATTGGACCCCGCCCATCAGGCCCCTGGGGAGCCAGACCCATGGTTTATACAAAATTGGTGCCCCTTTACCCAAGGATGCTCCACACCAAATATGGACCAAATCCTTTCATTCCTACAGAAGAAGGATTTTAAAGAATAATTTGCTATGTTTTGTCCCTATTGGGCCCGCCGCTCAGGCACCTGGGGGGCCAGATCCACGGGGTATACAAAATTGGTTCCCCTTCACCCAAGAATGCTTCAGACCAAATATGGAACAAATCCTTTCATTCCTACAGAAGAGCCCCCAGGGGGCCCAGACCCACCATTTATACAAACTTTGTTCCCCTTCCCCCAAGGATGCTTCTGACCAAATATGGACCAAATCCTTTCATTCCTACAGAAGAAGGATTTTAAAGAAACAAGAGGCCCAGGGGCCTTAATAGCTCACCTGGTATTTTATTTTTCAATTTAAAACCTGCTGAGTACCATTCAGGTTTATCAAAGGAGTACAAGTAACAAAGTTGCATCTTCCATTTATAAATATTCAATTCCCTTTGCCCAAAGATTCTCTAAAACAAGTTTGGTTAGGTTAAAATCCCTTCAACGGTACAGAAGGAGAAGGATCTTTAATGTTTTCCTCTATTTCCCCTAATGGGCCCCACTAATCTGCCCCAAAGAAGGGGAATCCACACACCTCAGTTTAAACAAAATTGATTCTTTTCTCCCTAAGCATGCTTCAGACTGCATTTGGTTTAAATCCCTTCACTTGTATAGTAGGAGAAAAAAAATCCTCTATTTCCCCTATTGGGCCCCGCTCCTATGCCGCCAGAAGGCCCACACCCTCCGTTTATACAAACTTGAGTCTCCTTTGTCCAAAGATGCTCTAGGACAAATTTGGTCAAAATCCTTCAATTGGTTGAGGAGAAGATTTTTAAAGATTTACCTATTTTCCCCTATTTGGCCCCGTCCCTCTGCCCCCAGGGGGACCATACCCTCCGTTCATACAAAACTGAGAACCCTTTGGCCAATGATGCTCCAGACCAAATTTGGTCAAAATCCCTTCATCGGTACAAAAGGAGAAGGATATTTGATGTTTTCCTCTATTTCCCCTAATGGGCCCCACCCATCTGCCCTTAGAAGGAGGCCCACACACCTCAGTTTATACAAAATTGATTCTTTTGTCCCTAATCATGCTTCAGACTGCATTTGGTTAAAATCCCTTCACTTGTATAGCAGGAGAAAAAAAATCCTCTATTTCCCCTATTGGGCCCCGCCCCTCCGCCCCCAGAGGGGCCACACCCTCCGTTTATACAAACTTGAGTCTTCTTTGTCCAAAGATGCTCTAGGACAAATTTGGTCAAAATCCTTCAATTGGTTGAGAAGAAGAACATTTTTAAAGATTTACCTTTTTTCCCCTTATTTAGCCCCGCCCCTCTGCCCCGAGGGGGGGCTATACCGTCCGTTTATACAAAACTGAGAACCCTTTGGCCAATGATGCTCCTGACCAAGCTTCAGACTGCATTTGGTTTAAATCCCTTCACTTGTATAGTAGGAGAGAAAAAATCCTCTACTTCCCCTATTTGGCCCCGCCCCTCTGCCCCCAAAGAGGCCACACCCTCCGTTTATACAAACTTGAGTCTCCTTTGTCCAAAGATGCTCTAGGACAAATTTGGTCAAAATCCTTCTATTGGTTGAGAAGAAGAAGATTTTTAAAGATTTACCTATTTTCCCCCTATTTGGCCCCGCCCCTCTGCCCCCAGGGGGGTTATACCCTCCGTTTATACAAAACTGAGAACCCTTTGGCCAATGATGCTCCTGACCAAATTTGGTCAAAATCCTCTGAGCCATTCAGGACAGGTAGCATTTAAAGTAAAAAAATGGCGGACGTCGGACACCGGACGCCGGACGCTGCACCATGGGATAAGCTCACTTGGCCCTTCGGGCCAGGTGAGCTAAAAATTGCTTTGTTTCCCCTATTGGGCCCGCCTGGGGGGGCCAGACCCTTGATTTATACAAAATTGGATCCCATTCACCCAAGGATCCTTCAGACTAAATATGGACCAAATGCTTTCATTCCTACAGAAGGAGAAGGATTTTAAAGAATAATTTGTTATATTTCCCCTATTTGGCCCCGCCCCTCAGGCACCTGGGGGGCCAGATTCACGGTTTATACAAAATTGGTTCTTCTTTACCCAAGGATGCTCCAGACCAAATTTTGTTAAAATCCGATCAGTAGTTCATGGCTAGGAGTGTAAAATTGACCCACGACCGACAACGGACGCTGCACTTTTTTGTATGGCATAAGCTCACCTTGGTCCTTCGGACCAGGTGAGCTAAAAATTGCTTTTTTTCCCCTATTGGGCCCCACCCCTCAGGCACCTGGGGGGCCAGATTCACGGTTTATACAAAATTGGTGCCCCTTTACCCAAGGATGCTCCAAACCAAATTTTATTAAAATCCGATCAGTAGTTCATGACTAGTAGTGTAAAGTTGACGCACGACGGACAACGGACGCTGCACTTTTTTGTATGGCATAAGCTCACCTTGGTCCTTCGGACCAGGTGAGCTAAAAATTGCTTTGTGTCCCCTATTGGGCCCGCCTGGGGGGGCCAGAACCTTGATTTATACAAAATTGGATCCCATTCACCCAAGGATCCTTCAGACTAAATATGGCCCAAATCCTTTCATTCCTACAGAAGGAGAAGGATTTTAAAGAATAATTTGCTATATTTCCGCTATTGGGCCCCACCCCTCAGGCCCCTGGGGGGCCAGACCCATCATTTATACAAAATTGGTTCTTCTTTACCCAAGGATGCTCCAAACCAAATTTTGTTAAAATCCGATCAGTAGTTCATGACTAGTAGTGTAAAGTTGACGCACGACGGACAACGGACGCTGCACTTTTTTGTATGGCATAAGCTCACCTTGGTCCTTCGGACCAGGTGAGCTAAAAATCATCTCCCTGGGCATTTTGGTTATTCAGAAGAAGTTGTTTAAAGTTTTTAACATATTTGACCCCTGTGACCTTGAAAATAGGTGAAGGTCATTTATGTGAACAAACTTGGTAGCCCTTCATCCTAGTTTGCTTCTGGCCAAATATCACCACCCTAGGCCTTTTGGTTATTAAGAAAAAGTTGTTTAAAGTAAAATATTGACGCCGGACGCCAGACGCCAGACGATGGCCAGGTGAGCTACAAACCACTGATTCAAAATGTTGCTATGAAAATTTAAGTAATCAACTGAATGGTTTCTAACTGACGTTGCCTAACAGCGTTATGGTAATCATAGAACATATGTCCCATAACAAACGGCTGTTTAAACACTTAAAAGTTCGATGAAACAGTTTATTGAAGTTATGAAACTTCCATGACATATATCAGCATCCGTGTAAGGGCTTGAAAGTTATATACCAGAACTTTAACCAAAGCAATGCAGATGCTGGAATAAGTGCGCAAGCCTCCAGCCCCAATCCCATTTTTCAAGAGTTTAGCCGAAAAAATTGACTTAACTTTCATACCTGCTAAATGACCTGCATCTTGTGGGTCACACCCGCAAAATTAACCTATCACCCGCGACCAACTCATGACACGCGCGGGTCAAACAAATCTCCCGCATTCCGTCCACATGACCCGGAATCACCCGCCTCCGCACTCGTATTAGTATCTCCCTATTTCCGGAAGTGCTCCATCCGTGTTCCTCAGAGGTTTAGCATTCAGGTATAGGTAAAGTCTGTACACAATTCGAAATGTTTTCACAATGGCGGTCTCTCTTTCGTGGAAGCCAAGCAAATTTGAAAGGTGAGTACTGTTTACTACAGTATTACAACAGTGCATAGAATCCCGATCGTAGTACTTTCATTTCACATGCACAACCTTAATGCGGACTGCGTCAAACGTTAGAAAAAATGATAAGTATGTCTGCTATTACAATACTTCATGGGAAAATGATTTTGAGTGGCTTCATAAAAAAAAAATTGAGTCCGATTGATCATTCTTATTGTAAACTGTACTATACTGTATACTTACAATCTTTCGGTAGGTTTGGGAGCTCTTTATTACATCAACAGACATACGATGAAGGATTTTCACAAAATGTGACGACAAGGTTATAAACACAAAGTCGTTATTTAGTAGCTTAAATTCTGAGCACATTAATTACTTTCTCAACGGCAGATCATGATTATTTTAATTTACCAAAATCTGCATGATAATGCTTCCCGATATCGATCGCAAGATTGCTTTAAGATTTGTTGCAGTCTCACAAATTTGAGTGTACCAAGATATTATACTAATATTATAAATACCTGTATTTAACATTAAATGCATTTTTTATTTTTTATTTATTTTTTCCAATTTCCAACCTTCATGCAGTCAGATTTCCAATGTAGTACATAAACATGAGAGGGAGAAATAGATAGAGGAGCTTCTAGAGGAGTTCATGCTCCCAGTATGCATCAATGATGAAAGATGCAAAGTTTTCTACAATTAATTCAAACTACCTGTATCAAAGTATTTTGAAAAGAGAGAATGTAATAAAACAAAATGTGTGAAAAGATTTGTTTTATTTATTTATTATATATATATTTATTATTAAAAAAGGTCCTAAATCCTACATGAAGACACAACATATGAAAATTTAATGAATGATTAATTCTGGCGTGATTTTTTTTGTCGCGCGTTATGACCCCCCACAGAATTTCAGGGGTTAGCAGGTATGAACTTTGTAAAATTTTAAAACCACTTAGGGCATATCCCAGGAATAATCCTGAAGGCGACCATGTAGTCCTTAGCCCTACAAAACTGAAATTGGCCCCTTCTGACTTTTTTTAAATTTTACAATTAATAGCCCCTATTTTTTATTTTATTTTAAATTGACTAAGAATTGCTGAAGATGGCCCATTTCTCTTAGCTTCCAGGATAATTGCTGATATCATGCACCACATGTGGATCTTCCCAAAAACTTACAGGCTCACTCCATCGTTGCTGCAGTGGCACTCGTGTGTCAATATTGATTCTGTCAAACTTCTCCAGGTAATTGCCGTTAATCAGCTCCAGGTGGCGCTCTAACGGAAGGTCACCATAGGTTGTGAACCTAAGACAGACAATGTTTACATTTTTGTAATATAGACCTGGTAAAACGTAGTGTATACTGCAAGTTTGTCTTCCTAGAAAGGTCGCCAAAGGTCGGGAACTTACAAGCAGGTAATTAGATACAATTTTTAGTGTCAGATAGTAACGATCTATCTTAAGTTTGTCAGGAGTGGCCTATTTTGAAGATTTGGGGGTTTCCTAGTATGTTTGAGCTTCTTTGAGCTTGTATGGTGAGGCCTACTTTAGAATTTACGGAGGTAACTACTTTGAGTTTACTAAGAGTGACCTACTTAAAGTTTGTTGGAAGTGACCTACGTTGAGTTTGTCCGTAGTGACCTACTTTGAGATTATTGCGAGTGACCTACTTTGAGATTATTGGGAGTGAGCTACTTTGGGTTTATTGGGATTGACCTACTTTGAGATTATTGCAAGTGACCTACTTTGAGATTATTGGGAGTGACCTACTTTGAGTTTATTGGGAGTGACCTACTTTGAGTTTATTGGGAGTGACTACTTGGAGTTTATTGCGAGTGACCTACTTTGAGTTTATTGGGAGTGACTACTAGGTGTTTATTGGGAGTGACCTACTTTGAGATTATCCATAGTGACTTACTTTGAGTTTGTTGGGTGGTAGTGAGAATGATGGAAGTCCTTGAGCTGTTGCCAGGTGAGATCTGTGATGGCCGGGGGATCGCCCCCCGATATCACTCCATACGTATGGTTTGGCATTAGTTTATTCTGGACAGCTTGCATGAATATGTTCAAGGAATCTGACTGCAACATAAATCACCTTTAAATGTACATTATTCCATTTAAAATTTCTTTTGGTAAAAAAAACGAGATTTTCTTTTTAAAAAGAAATATATCTAAATTATTTCTGTTTGTGCACAATGACCATTTAACAATACAGTGTTTACCCATTTTCTACAGAGTGGGCCTGTTTTAGGATAAAATCACTTACAAACACTCCCTTCATTTCGTTGTAGACCACGCCCTTAAAGATGATTGGCGATTCCGAGTTATTGGGATCTTCATGTTCCAAGCGCCATCCTTCTTGACTGAAAATATCAGAAACAGCAATACTGTATTTGACCGCATATTAACCCCCCCCCCCACACACACACACACACAAAACAGCCTCCTCCCCACTCTGGCGTGTGTACTGGGAACAGGGTTGATGCCTGCAGTTGGGCTCCTCTCTACTTTTGGTCAATCTTTCCTCATTAGGGGTGGGGGCTTATTTGGGTCAAATATGGTATTCCTATTATTTGTAAAATATCAATTATTCATATGGCAGACTAGATTAGGAATCTATCACAACAGCAGCAAGGTAGGTTCTCCACACTTATTCGGTTCTTGTTGACAAGTTTCACCCTACTTTAACTTCGCCTATAAGCAAAACTGGTCAGAAAACAAGAAAACCTGGATAGGGTGAAACCTATCAACAAGAACCTAATACAAGAGGCCCAATGGGCCTTAACAGTTATCTAAGTTAAAATACAATTGCTAATTGTTATTGCGATGTGCCACAAACAACTTAAGTACACTTAACCAAATTTGTCTTTTTGAATATGGATTGGTTTTTACAAAATAATGTTGGGGAGTGACCATCCATTTATACATGTATATAGCTCTTAAATACCAGTCCCTTTAAACGGGAAAGAGTTAAATTGAAATCATCTGATAAGAATTCTAACCAAGTTTGAAGTATTTCCAACTGAAAATCAATAAAATATACCCCAAAGTGCCATTTTGGCAGTAGTTTGGGGATCCTTAAATTTAACAGAGTATATGAAATATATCCCCGACAAAATGACACACACTTACCTGGTAATCAAATGACAAGCTGGCTGTCAGACGGAGTGCATACACATAGCCCCAACTGGTGGTTATTACCAGATGTGGACAGAACTTCACGAACTTCAATTAGTTTCCCTGACTTTATAAAAGAATGTCCTAAGATCAATTCCAAGTGTTTAAAATAGAATTACCTCAAATCTTAAAAGTTTTAAAGAGTTTTCAACAGAATGACCAGAAATCAAGTTCCAAGGGTTTAAAACAGAATTACCTAAAGTCCAACTCCCGGAGTTGAGGAAAGAAAACAGCATCCAGGTATACAGACATGAGGTTTTCATAGTCCTTCTGATTTTGTGTGGAGAAAGGGTAGAGCGTCCAGTCACTAGCTGTAACAGAAAACAAAACATCCAGTGCTTAGCTTTCTTTTTAAATTCAACTTATTTCTTCATAGGAGGACAGTGGCTACGTATACTGTGTGATTTGCTAAAATAGTCAATGTCACAAGATCTATTGTCTGCAGATTTCAGTGTCCATATTTATGAAACCATTCTCGTGTTCAAGCATGGATTCTGTGTTCAATTATTATTTTTTTTTGGGGGGGGGGGTTGGGGGGGACTGGCTTAAAATCATCATGTCACACAATCAAAAAGCCAAGAAAAAACATTGAAAATGGTATTTGGACAAAAGCCTCTCCGAACTTCCTCCAGATCATTGACAAAATGTAATTGTTTATCAATTTATCACCTGAATAAGAAATTGGGCTTGAGCACAAAATCTGAGTTTGAGCATAAGAACGGTTTCATGAATACGGGCCCAGGTCTAGTGGCCATTGCAGAAAGTGCTGAGGTACGAACGGATCAATGTGTTATTGATTTCGTAGGTTGTACTTTTCATGAAAGAATTGTTAAATGTGAAAATGAGAAAACCATATAACCCCGAAAATAAAGCAACATTTACTGTGTCACTAATATATTAATTATTGTGAACCTTTTAATGATTCCACTAGTAATTTGTCTAAAATTTCGTAATTTTAATAACTCATCATAAAAAAGATGTCATACAGGTTTCTTAGAGAAAGGAACTCTTCTAGATTGGAGATATAATAATAGTAGGATAGCTTTACTCACTCACCCCTGAAGACACAATTGAACTCTTCCAATTCAAAGGTTGGGATAGTTCACTATGAAATTTCATGGGGTGAATGAGTTAAACCCTTAATATTACCTGTCATGGCATTCATAAAAGTGGCTAGTGTCCTGTTGAGCATTTTAAAGAAAGGGTCCCTCACAGGGTACTTTTGTGATCCACATAAGGTAGTGTGTTCAAGGATGTGGGGCACACCGGTACTATCCATAGGAGTAGTCCTGAACATCACACTAAAAAACAGGTCAAAGGTCAACGATGATGTAGTCCAATAACATTTCATTAAACTTTGTTTCAAAAATTTCAATTTCTGTTTGTTTGCTAGATCAAAACTTACACTTGATTATGCAAATACAATTTGAATTGAAATCAACACTTTCAAAATTCAAACAAGTTCTCAGCTTCAATTACAATTTCAACTGTACATTATTTTCATCAATCAACAAATTATAATTAACTATTACCAAATATTAAGCAAGTATTAAAATAATAGACAAGAAATAACATAACTTCAATTCCTCCCAGGAAATGGGGAGTGGAACTTATAAGGGAGGGGTACTTATTACAGCAAATATATATGTGGTCATCACAGATATTTGTCAGGTATTGTGAGACTAATAACCTGCACAAAACCTGCTATGTTACCTGAATGTGTTATTACTGTCCTCACGGGCATAGTGGCAATGCTGGGCACCAGTTTTATCATGTTCTAGACTCACACCTGTGGTCATTAGCTCAGGAATCTCAACCACCTACCGGTAAATAACAGCAGGTAAATATATACAGGTAATAACAACAACCACCTACCAACACAGGTAAATAACAGCAGGTAAATATATACAGGTAATAACAACAATCACCTACCAAAACAGGTAATACACAGGAAACTAACAACCACCTACTGGTAAATAACAGTAGGTAATTATATACAGGTAATAACAACAATCACCTACCAAAACAGGTAACAACCACCTACCAGTACAGGTAATACACCAGTAACTAACAACCACCTACCAGTACAGGTAATACACCAGTAACTAACAACCACCTACCAGTACAGGTAATACACCAGTAACTAACAACCACCTACCAGTACAGGTAATACACCAGTAACTAACAACCACCTACCAGTACAGGTAATACACCAGTAACTAACAACCACCTACCAGTACAGGTAATACACCAGTAACTAACAACCACCTACCAGTACAGGTAATACACCAGTAACTAACAACCACCTACCAGTACAGGTAATACACCAGTAACTAACAACCACCTACCAGTACAGGTAATACACAGGTAACTAACAACCACCTACCGGTAAATAACAGCAGGTAATTATATACAGGTAATAACAACAATCACCTACCAAAACAGGTAACAACCACCTACCAGCACAGGTAATACACCAGTAACTAACAACCCCCTACCAGTACAGGTAATACACCAGTAACTAGCAACTACCTACCAGTACAGGTAATACACCAGTAACTAACAACCACCTACCAGTACAGGTAATACACCAGTAACTAACAACTACCTTCCAGTACAGGTAATACACCAGTAACTAACACCTACCTACCAGTACAGGTAATACACAGGTGACTAACAACTACCTACCAGTACAGGTAATACACCAGTAACTAACAACTACCTACCAGTACAGGTAATACACCAGTAACTAACAACCACCTACCAGTACAGGTAATACACAGGTAACTAACAACTACCTACCAGCACAGGTAAAACCCCGGTAACTAACATCCACCTACAGACAAGGTAAATAACAGCAGGTAATTATATACAGGTAATAACAACAATCACCTACAAAAACAGGTAATACACATGTAACTATCAACCACCTACTAACACACATGTGATACACAGGTAAATAACAAGTACCTACCAACACAGGTATAGCAAAAGTACCTACTAACACAAGTAAATAACTAGAGATTTCGTATAACTATGTTTTCCCTTTTAGCAGTTTAAAAGTTACGGCCCGGACACGATATTCCTAAAAACTTTGCACTTATTTGACCTTTGACCTTGAGGTCAAGGTCACAGTGACCTAACCACAGTGCACTATACATCGTCCATTGGTGATGTAGATATACTAAAAGTTTTATCAGGATATCTTTAACTAAGCACTTATCTTACCTTATTATCAGAGGAACTGCCTACTGCTAAATTATAAAATGCATATATATAAACAAGTTCTAATTGTAATGGGGACCATTACAGAAGTCCTCAAAACTGACCCTATAGTCACAAATGATGTATGAATAGAGTTTACAATGCCATCATATACTTGCATACCATGTTTAAGCAAAATTAGACACAGAGAAGGACTGTTGGCATCACCTTGGCGTACACCTTTAAATGTTTGAAACAATCAAGACTTTTTTGACCTTCAACCTTGAGGTAAAGGCCACAGTGACCTAATGAAACTGCACTGCACATCATCTGTAGGTGATGCGATTATACTGCATGTTTCATCAAGATATCTTTAATGGTTTAAACTACGGTAACGGGCTGGAAAAGATGCACCTGAAAAAATTGCACATATTTGACCTTCAATCTTGGGGTCAAGGTCACAATGACCTAATGACAGTGCACTGCACATCATCTATGGGTGATGCAGGTATACTTCAAGTTTCATTAAGATATATTTAATGGTTTAAAAGTTGCACATATTTAACCTTGCAGTCAAGGTCACAATTACCTATAGCTAATTAATAACAAAGAAGAACCAGAACCAGACCACTAGAACCAGAAGAACCAGTACTTATACATTATGTATTCCTTCATTTGAAGGGGAGACATATAACAAGTACCTACCAACACAGGTAAATAACAGGAATCACCTACCAGCACAGGTAATATAAGGTAAATAACATCCACCACCTACCTGTACAGGTAGAAATTAGTTATGTCAACAGTGATAATAATTATAATATTTTTTAACACAAATACTAAATTGATCTCACTACATGTATAATGTTTATCCAGGGAAAATCCTGAAAGCCTTTTTTTAGTTAGAGGTGCCATTGTATGTAAAATTTTAAGAAATTGGAATTTCAGAGGGACAATTTACATAATGGGGTGCTCAGAGCCCCATCATCCGCTCCAAAATTATCCCTGTATCACAGTAAACAAACTTAAACTTACAACTTGCTGCAAGTTATCAATTACCACAAATTTTTGATGACATTTGAGAGTATCTTACCCGTTTCACAGTGTATCCGTGGAGTCTGTCGCCACCTCTCAGACTTCGTACAGCATCTTGGGCTGATGTTGACTTGCATCGCTGCAGTAATTTGGATGAGCTGCAGATTAATGATAAATTGTACAGATATAATAAATTCAAAATGTCCTAATCAAATATAACAACAGTTTTGTTTTAAGGGAGCAAAACGCATGTCTCCCCAACCAATATCAATTAATGACAAGCTTACTAAAACATCATTACAAGCCTTAAGCTTCCCATCGCTGTTCTACCTATGAGATATTTCCTATGTAAATATGCATATTTGCTTTATGAGTGATGGTGGTTTTGTTCAGATTTAATAAAAATGTTTAATGATTTTAATTAGTTTCCTTCAAATGGTAAATTGAAACTGTCAACTTTTTTAAATTTTTGTTTCTAGTTTACTAAATTAATTTGTTGTTCCATGAAAGGAGATCTATTTATGTCTGTGGCGATTAATTCGGAAACTTGGTTGGCTGACTTCCTGTGACCCGGTAGCTCAATTTAAGTCTAGAGTTTGGTGTTTTCTGGCAGGAATATTGATCCTTCCTCCTCTTCCTCGGACAGGTATTAAATTGATCGTATGCCCTATAATGGAGCAAGCCCACTATGAACCAAAACAGGTCGATTTTTGCATCACTAAATTTGCCAGCACATGGGTCCGCATCCAATCACAGGTTTGTTACATAAACCATTTCTGTTGCTCTCCTTTCTAACCTAAAGTAAAACGTTACCTTAAATGTTGTTAAATTATCGAGTTTACGTTGCGAGGGCAATCAAAATCTTAATTGACCGCCATGATGAAAACTTTGTCACTCTTTCGATATAGGTCAGACTTCTATATATGGGGTGGGTGTCATGACCAAATATGGAAATTTTAGTAACTATTTCGTCATTTTTAGTAAATTACATAGTCGGTCATGCAGTCCATATATGGAAACAAGAAATGAGATAACATCATGCAACTGGTTCACAATCGTGATAAATGAATGCGGCCTAAGCGACGTCAGGGGAATTCCACGTAACACCTAAACGAAAGAACATGCACACGCTGTGTTGATTATTGGATTGAGTACTAGTTTGGTTGAAAAAAATCATTTTGTAAGGAACACAGATCTTCCGCTGATTCAATCATTCCTAATTTATTTCATGTGTGTATCATAATGTCAGCAGAAAAAAGTACTTGGCCGACGGGAAATAACACAGAAATATCTATTGTCCCAGCAAATTTTCACTCGTTCACTCGTTCCTTTTCCGGACCCTACTCCAACAGTGTTAGAGGTTTACACGGCAAGATACTTTTAACAGGCGCCAAAATTATATCTGATAGAAAAAACGGCCGACCTGCGGCCACTTATGTCGTAGGAGTATTCCGGACAGTGCCGGGTTGTTTCGCTCCTAATCCCGTTCGCCCTAGGTTGTTTCGCGCTAGGTTGTTTCGCCATAAAACAAAAAAATTAGGGCGAAACATTGTTTGGTATTTTCTTTACATTTTTATTTGTTTTAAGTCACAAATTAAGTCTTCTTAGTCTTTCATATCATTAAAATCAGTTTTATTAAAAAAAATGTGTTTGTGTTGTTTTTAAGTACATTGTAAAGCAAGAAACGGAATACGTTATTTTCTTCACGCCGACACACATTATAACATATATTTAATTTAATTTTAGAAATAAATAAGAATAGTGAAATGAAACAAAAATGGTGTAATATTAATTACATTGCGGGGTATACAACAATATGATTTTTCCATGTTAACACATTTAGTCTAGTGGACACATAATCGTCGCTGTGTAACGATGTTTTCTTTACTTGATTTCTGCGCACGTTCGTGTTGTTTTTTGCTAATTGGAGGATAGTAACAACCAATAAAAATTAATATGCATATTTGAGTAGATAATTTTGAGTAGGTCACTTGTCATAAATAGGATTATTTACATTTCGTATACGTCTCTAGATAAAGTATTAATTTATTTTCATTCTTATACGCAATTTGTACCTAGTATATGTCCATTTTGTATACGTATCTATGTACTTAGAGAAATTAATTTAGTCTCATTAAATGTCCATACCTAATCTATATATATTATAAGTATTGTACTTAGAGAAATTAATTTAGTTCATACCTAATCTATATATTATAAGTATTTATGCATCATCAAATCCTAGTCACACCTCCTCATGGTGCCAGCTGGAAGCACTTTATTTCAAATATCTAAATATGTTTGATATAAAGTGGCTGACGTGACAGGGTGCTTTTTAATTGTTTATGTCATGTTAGAAGTTGTATAAGTATTAGTATTATACAATTTTAACGTTAAAACATGTACAGGTGCATTTTATAAAGAACAACATTATTTAATTAAGGAAATGAAATGAAAATGATAATATGCAGTATATTCCGGATATTAGTATGTCCGTTGTCTGCTTCGGTGATGAATATATATACACACAGGTTCGTTTTTCATCTTCCGGCACGTAATTATATCTTGATTCAAGAGAAAGAAAAGTTTTTTTAACTTTTAACATGATGTTTATGACTTAAAGAACCTAGGGCGAACTGGATTTGGGGCGAAACAACCCTTAGGGCGAACTGGATTGGGGGCGAAACAACCCTTAGGGCGAACGGGATTTGGGGCGAAACAACCCATAGGGCGAACTGGATTTGGGGCGAAACAACCCTTAGGGCGAACGGGATTTGGGGCGAAACAACCCTTAGGGCGAACGGGATTTGGGGCGAAACAACCCATAGGGCGAACTGGATTTGGGGCGAAACAACCCTTAGGGCGAACGGGATTTGGGGCGAAACAACCCTTAGGGCGAACGGGATTTGGGGCGAAACAACCCTTAGGGCGAACGGGATTTGGGGCGAAACAACCCTTAGGGCGAACGGGATTTGGGGCGAAACAACCCTTAGGGCGAACGGGATTTGGGGCGAAACAACCCTTAGGGCGAACGGGATTTGGGGCGAAACAACCCTTAGGGCGAACGGGATTTGGGGCGAAACAACCCTTAGGGCGAACGGGATTTGGGGCGAAACAACCCTTAGGGCGAACGGGATTTGGGGCGAAACAACCCTTAGGGCGAACGGGATTTGGGGCGAAACAACCCTTAGGGCGAACGGGATTTGGGGCGAAACAACCCTTAGGGCGAACGGGATTTGGGGCGAAACAACCCTTAGGGCGAACGGGATTTGGGGCGAAACAACCCTTGGGGCAAACGGGATTCGGGGCCCCTTTCCATTCCGGACCCCTAATCCTGTATATAAACAATGTGAAATGAACACCCGGAAGTGATGGTGAGGATTGCCACACGTCTGTTTATAATCATGTTGAAAGTAATCATTATTTCTTAAAACTAGGCTTATGTAACCCAATGTATAGTTAACCTCCACAGTGTGTTTATTTAATAAAGTCTTCATGTCGACTGAAAAGTTAGAAAAATATATAGAGAAGAGGAAGCTAGGATACTCAACTTACTCCTGGACAAAAAGGTCATTCTCGTCTCGGACAGCAAAGGGCGATATCTAAAACAATTTGTCCCCCTTCTTGATATTGATCCAGAGTCCATAGAGTTGTGCTTTAAGGGAGGACGAAATGCATCGGATGGCCTAACCTTCGTTAAAAACTTCTTGTCAAAATTGGATACCACAAACCCAACGCTAATACTTTTTTGGCATGGAACATGTGACATATCTGTAAAAAGGGAAAAATACATCTTCCCTTGATACCAAGATGTAAATCGCCTCATCAGCGCTACTCGTGAGATTTTCACTAACCTTGTATACTACATAGACAAAACACCCAACACCAGACTAGGATTCATGGAGATTCCACCTATCTCAGTCACAACTTGGAACAAACAGAGAGACTACCTCGACTGGGAAGCCCAACAAGATCAAAAGGAGGATGAAAATATTAACAAACAAATAGACAGCTATAATAGTGTTGTCAGAGAATTCAGCGACAACCTCAACTTTGACTCCCCAAAATTTAGTCTGGACATTGTAAGATCGTGGAAAAGGAAGGGAAATCCCAAGCGTCTAGATGTCAATACCTCCCCGAGATACTCCCTCAACTTCAACTTACTACAGGACGGTGTCCACCCTATAGGTCCCTTAGCCAAATACTGGCTAATACGCATTATGGAAAAGTGCAAGGTAGGCAGTGAGGATTAGCATATAGTAAAATCCTAACAGTGACTTGTCTCTGCAGGCAACTAAGCGATGGTGAGGATTGCCTCATCTCGCATGTAATATTTATATTGCTAGAAGTCTTCAGGGTAATCACTTGGATTTTATATTAAACTATCATCAAATCCTGACACACATATAGCCAACCATGGCGGAAGGCAATACAAATACAACATTCCAATTCATGAGGAGTAACCTTGGAGATCCCTCAGCCTCCAGAAAGCGTTCTAGAGAAGATTTGGAAAATATTTGTGGCAAATGCGACAACATACTGACGACAAATACCAAACACATCCGATGTGATGGGTGCCGTCTACAATTCTGCCTACAATTTTGTCATAAATGATATACCACCACCTATAGGTCACCTGATCTTGACAGATACTAGGAAGATGTTTTTACCAGTTTTAATGACATTGGTGATTCCTCTAAAATACCAGTGGACAAGCTTAAAATCTACTTCTCTAATGTAGACACCCTTACCAAAATAAAGAAGTCTGAACTTGAACTCTATATAGAAAATAACCATCCAGATGTGATATATCTAACCGAAATTCTACCAAAAATGTACCAAACCCCAGTAGACGACAGAATCTACAACATACAAAACTACAACCAATTTATGGGACAACATAGGAAAAGAGGTGTGATCATATATGTTATCAACACTATTGATTGTGACCCTCTACAGCAAACAGGACCCTTTGAAGAACAAGTATCCTGTATACTAAACCTAAAGGGCAGAGATAAACTTGCTATCTACTGTATCTGCAGAAGCCCAAACAGCTCAGCAGAAAATAACAACGACCTTCTTCTTAGAAAACATATGTAGCCAACCAATCTCACACATATTGTAGGGGATTTTAACTACAAAGAGATAAACTGGAACCATTACACAACCAGTGTTTGTGAGTCGCATCCAGCGACACTCTTCCTAGAGTGCTTAAGGGACAACTTTCTGTACCAACACGTCACAGAAACGACCAGATACAGAGAAGGACAAAAACAATCAACATTGGATCTAATCCTCTCTAATGAAGAGGGAATTGTTGAAAGTCTTAATTATCATAATGGACTAGGGGAAAGTGACCATCTAGTACTAACCTTCGACTTTATCTGCTACAGTCAAGTTCCACGAGCAGAACAAATTTGGGTACCTATAAAACATAATTTTCACAAAGGAGACTATGAAGAAATCAATGAAGACCTCAAACAAATAGATTCTCAGTAACTTAATAGATTTTCAGACGTCAAGGAGGCTTGGAAGAAATTTTCTGTAATTATAAATAAAGAAATAGAGAGACATGTACCAGTGAGGAATAACTCCCGATCCCTCCCAATAAGGAAAATCAACATCAACAAAGCTTCAAGAGGCTCTATTAAGAAAAAAGGTCAACTTTGGAAAAAATATCTCCACTGCAAAACCCTAGAAAACTTCAGAAAATATAAGACTGAGCGAAATCGAAGTGTCCATCTAATTAGAAGATCAAAATATACCTTTGAAAAGGACTTGGCGGACAACATCAAAATAAACCCAAAGCCGTTCTGGAAATAGGTTAGAACTAAAACCAAAACAGCAACGTCCATCACCAGAGTCAAAAATGATAAAGGAGAAATGACCACCTCCGACTTGGCGACGGCCAACATTATGAACAATTTCTTTGCTAGTGTATTTGTTGACGAGAGAGAAGTAGTTTTGCCTGAGTTCGAGGAAAGACCATACGATACCTTGCTTACCGACCTATCAGTAACAGAAGATCTTGTGTTGGCAGCAACTAAAAAACCGACCCAAACAAATCTCCTGGCCCAGATAACATCCATCCAAATTTCGTCTCAAAAACAATACAAACATTAAAAGAATCCCTAACAATCATCTTTAACAGATCCATTCAAGAAGGAACCCTATCAGATCCATGGAAACAGGCTCATGTCTCACCAATATTTAAAAAAGGTTCTAAAAGTGACTCGGGAAACTACAGACCTATCAGCTTGACATCAGTTCCATGCAAGATTCTACAACGCATAGTTCGAGATGCAATCTTAAAACACAAGGACAAGAACAATCTCTTCGTCCCCCACCAACATGGCTTCAGAAGTGGCTACTCCTTTACCACTCAACTACTAGAGGTCATTGAATACAGGACACAGGCATTAGATAATGGGAACAATGTGGACATCATATACCTTGACTTCAGCAAAGCGTTCGACAAAGTGTCCCACCGCTTACTACTTTGCAAACTTTATAAATATCGTATCAGAGGTAAAATTTTGGCCTGGACTAAGGAATTCCTAGAAGACATGACCCAACGAGTTATAATCAACGGAGCAAAATCCTCAAGTCTTCCAGTCACGAGTGGAGTCCTCCAGGGAAGCGTCCTTGGCCCGATACTATTCTTGATCTACTTCAACGACATGCCTGAACTTCTCAGCTGTATAACCAATGTAATGCCTTTGTGCATCAGTTTAACCATAAAAGACTGAACTTCACCATGTGGAAACTATATCTGTTTATTACAAGTGGAGCACTCGGGGCGCTCATGGCGTGTCAGACATGCCGTAAAATACTGCCAAAAGATCAAAGAATAAATTTACAAAGGGGCCTTATATAATGATATTGACATATTCATATCCTAAGATTGACATATTTTCTTGACTGAAGTTATGAATCTGTAAAATCATTCTATCGATAGTAAGTTAAACAGTTATTGATACATATTTATGCAACAATTTCAAACTTGAAATGAGGGACGAATCGTCTGAACACCGGTAATCGGATGTATTCAATCAATAAATGACAAAGATATATCAACATTTTGGAGAAACTAGACAGCGAAAGAATTGGTAACATAACCTATCAAATGTATACAGGTATTTACATTATATGTACTTACATCAGGTGCAGGGAGGTAATATTTTGGACTGAAACTTTCTTCGTAGCGAAGGGTAACTTTCATTTCTTTCGAAAAGGAAACTAAACTACGAACGTAGAAAAGGAGCCGGAGCCGGTCAATCCGTTCCGGAATATGTATTATAATTAGAAAATTTGATAACATTACAACCAAACTATTTACGGACAATACCAAACTCTATTCAAAAACTCGAACAGAATTAGAAAGAAAACAACTTCAAATAAACATCAACATATGGAGATTGGTAACAACCCCAAATCATCAAAACACTATTTGACACAAGACAGACAAACAACCGAAATAGAGAAATTAGCCAAAGCAAAGGACCTTGGAGTTCACTTTTGACAACACCCTAAAATTCACAACCCATGTCAATGCAGCAGTGTCGAAAGCTAACCAAATGTTAGGTATACTGTTTCAAACTTTCATTTTTATGGATATAGCTCTTGTACAAGTCCCTTATCCGTCCACATCTGGAATACGCTACGCAAGTGTGGTCTCCATATCTAAATAAGTTAGACTATTGGCGAATGTTTAGTCCTACACCACCTAGTATCACTAGAAGTCACTCTAAAAAAATATTCAAGAAACCTTTCAGGCTAAACACTAGTAAGAATGTCTTTAGTAACTGAGTGATTAAGGTCTGGAACAGTCTACCTGAGGAAACTGTGTCATCAAAAACACTAAACGAGTTCAAGTCAAACTTAAACACACTGTGGAGGAATCACCCCAGGAAGTTCTGTCCTTCCTTTTATCATTAATGAACCACATGGGATCTCTAACATTAAAAGAAAAGAAACGGTAACAAACATAATACCGCTAAAATGTTAGTTACTCCCCATTGTAAATTTGAGTGTATATAGATAAATATTCTAAACATACAAGGAATGTACATAAATTATTGTTATAATAAACAATTATTCACAATAACATATAGTGAAAAAGATTTTTAGTGTAAATAGTTTTAATTCCTGCGCAACCAAAGTCAGTTGATGGCAGGCTATTTTGCCAGCAACGTATCAAGTCGGAAGAGGATATTTAGACGTCTTTACAAGCTGAAGCTTCCGATCGACGTTCAACGACAACATAAATCGGTCGAAGTTGGTCTCCTCGAGAACTCACGTGGTTCCTTTGCGGCTTGATAATACAAGGTTTAGATTGTTGTTTGAGTGGTTTTACGTCCGCTTCACTAACGAGAAGTTCGGTTATCCAGCAGGCGATAAGTTTAAACGGCTGTCAGGCGATAAATAGTTGTTCGCTATTTAGGAACACGGCTGCCAGGCGAATCACTGCAGCCAATGACATTGAATTGCCTGTCTGCGAAAAAATCAACATTCCGATCTTAAACTATTACCGTGCCAGAGAAGCAGCAGCTCTTCTATGCGTCAATCTGGATATATGAAGCATGTTTCTAAATTGTATATAAGCCTAAGTAACAACTGACTTTTAATCAGTCAATCCCACACAAACACCTCCTCTCTCAGCTGATGAAACACCACGGCGTCATGATGAAGGCTGACATATTGTAACTCCGCAGTAAATATTACACAACGTTACCAAAATGTACATTTGAATTAAATTGAATCAGATTTTGTTATTTAAAATTAATGTTATACTTATTTTAAAATAAAGCCAAATTAAAAATTAATAAACGTTTTATTTTTCTGCATCGTTAAAAATGTCATCTTGGCCTGTGATTGGTTCGTTGAGAAACCTGTATGATATTTTGTCAACATTGCCACAGCTGTAGGTAACGTAAGCAAGTTCCTGTTATTTTATTTCTTGGCCCTCTGCAACTGGATGTAATTTTAAGTAAGTCACATCAGACTACAGGAATTGTTTGCAGCATTTGAAATTCCGTGCTTTGTTTAAAGAATCGGAATGTGTCTGTCTGGTGAATTATGTGCCACAATTGAAATGTCAAAATATTGCTCGATGTAGGCCTATATTAGGCCTAGTTCGCTCTTGTGGAACATCCTTTGACCCTTAGCCTGCAAACAGAACAAAGACATTTTGATAGATATTTACGCCAATGTATTCAATGATCTTTCCGAAACTCTTCGCTGGCTCTGCCAACAAATTTAGACATTTTGACAGCTTGATGTTCTAGGGGAGACAATTCAATTACAGCCTTGCGTTGTTCCGGTATAATTGATATCTCAATTTTATTTTATTTGGTTGCCCAATCACAAAACTTTTTAAGAGATGATATTTCTGAATTGCCTTGTTCGAGATTCAGTTGCCTCTAATACACGTGTACATGTAAGAACTGACGGCATAGCATTACCACAAGTGCTTGCATTGACACACACTTATATGATCATAAAATAGTACTTATACAAATCATATTAGTTTGTCCAGCACCTGCGAGCGTTACCAGTTCTCTCTAAACAATCAAGATATTCATGGATTTTCCAAAAAGACCTTAATGTGTATATGTTACTGATTATAGCCGATTTAAAATTTTGGTCCAGTTGTTCAAACTGATCAGCATCTTTAAAAAAATAACGCAAGAATTCTAACAAAAATATGTCGAACATTTTTTTAAAATTCAAAACTAAACTATATCATTTTTTCAATTTCAAAAGTATTTTATTGACAATACATATATAATACAAACATATAATTTAACATTAAAGAAGATATTGGAACAGTATTGATAAAAGAATAAGACAACAGGCTTTGCCTATATCAGTCTTCTTCTAATTCCGGTAGATATGTACAATGCTTAAATATATAAAATGTTGTGATTCGTTTCCTCTCACACTCATGCACACCCACACC